TTCCGTTCATCAGATAGTGTTCTTGGTACCAAGATTGACTTGTTTCTATTGTGCCGTTCATTAGTTAGTCTTCTTGGTACCAAGATTGACTTGTTTCTATTGTGCTGTTCATTAGTTAGTCTTCTTGGTACCAAGATTGACTTGTTTCTATTGTTCCGTTCATTAGAAAGTTAAGGTAATGTTAAAACTGTTCATGTCTTTCAGAGTTACTGTTTTTCGTAAATTCTGAATAATGTTGAAAACTGAAGGAGAACACAACTTCAGATAATTCATGTATTTGCATTACCTTATCATCTTGAAATGTTCAGTTGAATTGGAGCTTTAAAGAATATCAAATTAAACGAGAATGTAAAAAATCGAGGACAAGACTATTTTATGGAATATAGTGAGAAAAAAATGGTTATTTAATTATGAGACAGATGCTAAAAAATACAAAAGTAATAAGCTTCAGGTTTTCTTACCATTACGATAACTTTCTAAGTTATTTAATTTTTTCTTCAAATTCTTACGGTGTACTGTGAATCCGAATTTTGCAACAATATTTCATAATGATTTTGTTTTAAACATCAGAATTTTCAATCGAACTTAAAAGCATTAGTGTAGTTTATATTCATTTAGAGATGCTATCTACAAATCTATAAATATATTGAATAAATAAATAAATAAATATATATATATATATATATACATCTTGTTATAAGCATATGACTCCGAAATTTGTAAGTACAGTAGTACTTAATAGTAGGCATCGACAAGGATTTCAAATAATTCATGCACCGAAAAATCACTGTATCGAATTCCTAAGCGAAAAACCGACCATTCAAAAAGTTGATTACGATATATTATGCGAATATCTACTAATAATACGCTAAAGAGGTCGCTAACATCTCCGGTATAACAATTCAAAATTTTCTCAAATAAACATTTTTGTGTACTACCTACCTACCTGATCATGTCAGTGAGCCTAGCGCCTAGACATCTTGGACTTTTGCTACAAGATTTCTTCAGCTTATTTGACTGGTATTTGGGTATCCGCTTTTGGTATTCCGATAAAATCTACATATATATACAGGTATAATAAAATTGGCAAACATATCATTCATGTACTTAAATATCTTCACAACCCACTTCAACCCAACGGATGGCGTTCATATCAATGGATAGACACGCGACAGCTTCTAAAAGTAAAGAATATACTTTATACAGGTATAACGTAAAAAGTAAACAAACAAGAGTATTAAAAAATGTGAATTGTAAAATGAAGTGAAGTAGGGATCCTGCTATAAACAGTAATGAAACAACATTCACAAATTTATAAAATTTAATTCCTACTTTGGCAGCTTTATACATTTATCTGTAGGCCAAAATAAGGATCAATTTTTATAAATTTGTGATAGTGGTTTAATTCTTGTTCCCTTAATTTTTATAGCAGGATCCCTACTTCATTTTAAAATCCATAACTCTCAATACTCTTGTTACATTACTTTTAATTCATTACTTGTTAATTAAAGTCCCTCAGCAAGCTTATGAATTTACAAC